ATTGAGAAAAGTGAGTGAACAATTGCATTCTTTATAAATGGGTAATAGGTTTGCTCCGCTCGCGAACCCCTAGATGACCCTTGCGACCCTTAATCTGATCCTTGTGACCCTTAATTTCGAGTACCCAATTTTTATCACCAGAAGTCGATTTGGACTTTCATAATATAGAGAAATAGTTATTGTTGCTGATAAATAAGCCATTTGCTTCCGAATGCATGAATTGAAATGTCATCAAAATTTTGCGTATTATTTCGTCCTGTCAAATATTTCCACATTCAGACCCTCTCAAGATTCGAATTCCTTTTAAGTACGACTGGAGTGGAAGTCTAAAAGAAATGATGCTGTTTTTCCAAACAGATGAGCCATGGTTATGGTAAATCGCGATTCTCAAAGGCCTTTTCACGGAAAATCGGAAATAGAGCTTGTCCCCCTTCATTCAACTCTCCGCCATCAGTTCAACGTAATCATGGAACGCATGAGTTTTAGGTAGCGAAATTCAAGGTATGCATAGCGTGTGTGGATAAAGATGGGAGAAAATGAGCAAGACCAGCGAAGGAGAGGCGACGTGGGACAACGAGAGAGTAGTGAGACCACCCAACACGATCACACGCGCGGTATTTGGTGGAGAAAGGGTAAAAAATGAGAATGGGGAAAAAAGCGATTGAGAGAGCAAAGGAGAGGGTGATTAACAGGTATGTTTTGGATCGAACGAGATGGGAATGTACATTTGGAGCATGTATGCTTTGGCTCGTTGAGTGTGGCAGAGTTGTTATCGAAAATTTTCATATTCTCGTTTAATATTTTCAAGTTGAGGATCACTCTACGCTCAAAAAAAAAATTATTTTAAGACTAGGGGGCCGAGCCCCCTATGACCCCCATCCCCCTTATTCTGACCCTTGTGACCTTTGATCTAACCCTCGTCACCCTTATTTTGACCCTCACGACCCTTATTCTGCCCTAGAGACCTTTATTATGAACCTCGTGACCCTTATTCAAATCCTTGTGACCTTAATTGTGACCCTCATGATCTTTATTTTGAACCTCGTAACCCTTATTTTGAGCCTTGTGACCTGTAATTGTGGAGTCTTATTTTTGAGTACCAAATTTTTATCACCACAAGTCGATTTGGATTTTTATAATATAGAGAGATTTCGAAGGTCTTAAAATAAATTTTTCAAAAGTCTTAGTTTCAAGGTAGGGGAGGATGGGGCAAAACGGCCCCCCTTCAATCGTCAATATTTTCCGATTCAATAATCCGATTGGGATGAGTTAGAGCTCGTTTTGAAGAATGAAAAATTATCTTCAAAATGAAGTTGAAACTGGGAATTTTCACAATGTCATTCACAAGTTATTGACAATTGAAGGGGGGCCGTTTTGCCCCACCCTTCCCTAAGTCTTAAGTTGAGAGTATTGAAAGTCTCAATTTTAGACTTTGGAAGGTCTTAATTTGAGAATTAAAGTATCAAGTCAAGACTTGAAGGTTTTATAGACTCAAATTGGGACTTTAGAACGGCTCAAGTTAAGACTTTCCGATTAAACCCGAACTGAAAACGAATTAGAGTCTTGAACGAAGTAATTTAATAGAAGAATATAGAAACAATAGAACCCATTCGGAGGCAAATCGCCAATTTATTAGCAACAATAACTACCCTGATTTATAAAAAAATGCAATTATCCACTTGTTTTCCCTCCTCCAAGTGTGAAGCGCAGCTTTTGTCAAAGCGTATTCCACCTCGTTAGAATAACGAGGTTCTAATATCCCTGGTTTCCAGTGGCAGGCCAATTACACTGTTTCGCCCTGTTACCCGTCTTTCGGTGATTTGCCCCACGATGAAAGATCCAGATAAATATACCTCCGGAAGTGAGCATTTAGTACCAAACGTTGTGCATTGCCCAGTGGTTGCTTCCTTTTAATCCTTAAAATTTATTCCCCCAAGATTCTGATGTACAACGAGAAGATCTATGAGCCGACTGTGGTGTGATGTACGGCCAAAACATGTGTGCAAAAATCATACTGGGTATATACATCTGACGGTGTTAGCCAAGTTAAAGTGACCCAAGCGTTTCACGTATGTCGTCGCTGTCGTTGTCGGATGATTTCAAAAGCCATGTTAGAAGCGAACAAACGATAAATCGTCTTTTGCTCTCGTAGACTCGTTAGAACCTCTCGTGTCCCGCTCGATTGGAGATGAAGAGCGACTAAAGGGATTCTCCCCAGTAATACCTTCTCGGAATTAATTTACCCTCGAGTTTTTAAATTTCTTTCTTCCCAGTCATTCGTGATAAAAGCCATATAACCTTTGAAGTCTCAACCGTTTCTCATCCAAATTGTAACTCTCAGTATTCTCGAACCGAGGGAGGGAGAGCCTTCATACATTACAATTAACAAAGAATATACTATTGGAGATAGTATATACCATAAATTTAACGGTGGATAGCGCAAGAAAAAGTAAATTTAGTGAGCCACTGGTGGCTACAAACTAGAAACCCCTAATGGCCATCGTACAATGCCTGTGGCCAGTGTTAATACTCGGATAACTTCCCCTTGCGTGTATGCAGTGGTAATACGTATAATTCCCCCTCTTTTAGCATTCCTACCATTTGCGAATTACTGCAGAAGAACTATTGTACACCCGCACTAAGTTTGAGATATTTGCCGGTATTATTTGATATAGTGAAAAAGGTAGTACGTTATTTTGAGATTTTTCAGGTCTCAAAATAAGATTTTTTGAAGTGTTAGTTGGAAGTGTAAATGGCTTAAGATCGCCTCAACTTAAGACTTTACGACCTCAACTTGAAGAAAAATTTCAATTGAACATAAATTTTTTAAAAGTTGAGTTTTGAAAGTTTTCACTTGAGACTTGAAAGTTTCAATTTGAGGTCTCTGAAAGTCTCCACATGAGACTTATAAGTTTTAATTTGAAACTTGGGGATTTCAATTTAATTTGTAATTTTAATGACACTAAATATTCATGATTTTTTTCAATTTTTTCTCAAACAATTTAATTGACAAATTTGATGATTGAAACTGTAAAAAATACTTGGACATCCTTACGGGTTATAGACCTGATGTCGTAACGATCCCAGAAATAATTACAAACAGGAAAATAATAACGCAAGACATTTTTTCTATCGCATTCTTTAATACATAACAGAGCATTCATAAGTTCCATAAATACATGATACCACGCTGGAGAAGGAATCGCGTGATAACTCCTTCGCTCCCATTTCTCCCAGTCATTAGCTATAAATTATATCATCATTATGGATACGTATTTACAAAAGTAGGGAAGGGAAGGGAGACAAAATACAGTGAGATCATTGCTAGTCGAAGGAATTATGAAGCACAAACCGTATGATTATTCTTACACCTCTTAAACTCTATGTTTATTTACAAATTATTGAATATACTCAACATAACTGATATTTTTCTCGAATAGAATCTAGTATTCATTACGATACTCCTTAATGCATACAGTACGGCAATTGGCCTATTCACAGCGATATGTCCAATTTAAAAAATCGTATGGAATAAATAAATTGAAACTTTGATAATGTGAGTTGTAGATAATCTACACCTGATGCTCAGTCTATACAGAATACACTTGATATTAATTTCAGAACAAGCATACTAAATACCGAATCAATTGTCGCTCGTAATTCTTTTAAATCAGCAGCGAAGCGGTGAAATGAGAAATATCTCCGGATCTGGGGGAGATAGCGAAATTTTTGTATAGAGATTTTTTGTTGCTCTCAGATTGCTCTGCAGAAAAGGTTATAACAATAATTTTGCTATCTGCCTTAGATTCCGAGATTTTCGTGGATAAATGACGAATGGTCGAAATCGACTTGAGGATATTCAAGTACTTTGGGTATTTTTTTTTAGTGAAATGCTTAGTAAACTGTAAAATATACTTGGATATTCTCGAGGTATATAAATGTTCTTAAGGATATTTTACAATCATTTTATTATTTGCGGCCTGAATTTGATTCTCGACATTATAAAACCCTTTAAAATTTGAAAAAAATGAGAAAGTTTACTGGTAATTTATAAACAATCAATTTTCTATCATAAAAATCATTTGTTCGAAATCGTAATAACTTTCCTCATATTCAGAATTTTACCAGAAATCGATTTCATACCTGAAAAAATTATGTTTCCGAAAGTTCAAACAATTTCAATCATTTATTTATGAACAAAAAATTAAAAAAAAAATTCCATCAAAAATGCAAATTTCGTGAAGTCATTTCGTACTTGATTCAAGCAATTAATCAACAAATAATTTTTTATTTCCTTCAAGTGTATTTTATACTCAATTGGGGGATGGGTATTTCAATTCGAAGATGATTTTTGTATCAGGCCGAGTTGCAGCAAGCCCTCTTAAGTGTAACATAAGTGGAGTTTAAAAAATGAGGGTCAGAATATTAGGGTCAAAACATTAGGGTCAGAATATAAAAATAAAAAAAGTGGGTGTCAGGCAATGAGGGTCTAAATATAAATCATATATTATCCTTGATCACCGTTTTTAGCCCTTATGCGACCCTCACTGCCTGACCCCCGCTTTTTTTACATTTATATTCTGCCCCCAATTTTTTGATCCTAATATTCTGACCCTTTTTTTAACCCTAACATTCCGACCCTCATTCCTTCACCTTTACATTGAGGCCCTCATTTTTTGACTCTAATATTCCGAGCCTCATTTTTCAGCCTCCACTGTTTGACCCTTATATTCTCACACTTGGTGTCTGACCCTTGCATTACACTTGAGAGCGCTTGGTACCACCCGCGCCAATACGAAGTAATCATCCTCGAATTGAAACACCCGTCCCCCACTCCAGCATAAAATATATACTCGAATTATATTTTTCCCCTCTAATTCAGAGAATGCAGCAAACTAAGCCATTCCCAATTCCTTCCGGAAACCCGCAGGGCCTGACTTTTGGGCGTTATTGTCTTACGCTACACCTTAAGCCGCTTCACCGCTTCGCGCCCCCAAAAATCATTGTTGGAACCCGGCGTTGAGCTCCTCCCCCTCCTCATCCACCGGCACAGTCGTGTGGTTGTACAGCCCCTGGGCCATGAGCTGCAGGGCCAGTGGATTTTTTTGCCCCGTGGATTTTTTGATCTTCGCCCGCTTGTTCTGAAACCAAATCTTGATTTGCGCCTCATTGAGTCCGAGCTCTCGCGAGAGCTGCTGGCGTCTCCTCTCGTTGAGATACCGATTCTCCGTGAATTCGCTCTTGAGCCTGGCCAGTTGTTCCCCGCTGAAGGCAGTTCTCGGTCGCTTCTCCTCGGGCGCCAGAGTCTTCTCACTCGGTGCGCGTTTCACTCGTCTCGTTCTGGGCCCTGAAATAGATAAAACGATTTACCTACCATGCAATATGGTTTACTCAGGTCAATAAGTCTCCTCAACTGGAAACCGCAGAATACGCCCGCTGGCCACAATTGAGAACGAAGAATGGCCAGTGCCAAACGCTTACCTGATGATGGACGATCGGAATATCGGGTACAATAAACCCACGCGGGCCACAAGCTCTGGCCCCCACCGGAAGTGGTATTTGTTTGTGAAGCACTTCCGATGATGCTATCACCGCTGACAGATTCGGCACCGATGGTGGATGCCGCCGACGACAACGAGGGTGTTCCGGTTAAGGAGCCTGTTACCGAGCTGCGGTTGCTTGCAAGACTCTCGAGACTTCCGCTTCTACTTAGGGCCGAGTGCCTTTGAAGTGGCGATGTCGAGCCGGAGAAGGACTCGGAGTCGCGGTGTACCGCGGGCGATTGGGGGGACACGAGACGGCTCGACACACTCAAGTCCCTCGGCAACGACGACGGACTGGGGTGCGACAGTTGAACCGGCGACAGGCTCGCGGTTCGCGATGTCGATTTGCTGATGATTGCGTCGCGGCCGAAGTCGGGTCTGAGGATGTTGACGACGCTGAACCGCAGGGGATTGTCCAGGTTCTGGGTGGGCTGGTGGGCAGCACTCGGGGATGGCGACCGCTGCTGGTGGTGGGTGTGAAGGTGCTGGAGGAGATGGGGGTGGGCGCCGAGCCCCAGGCGCAGGCCGTAGGCCGTCTCCATCGCGGCCAGTGCCACACTCATGATCAATCCAATTGTTTAAATAATTGTCCCGGTGAATAATCGGAATAAATCGGGGTCTCTCACGACCACAGGGGTATCCACATGTTCACTCGGTAATGATGAATGCTCACTCGAAAAAATTAATCTCCGCGCACACACGGTTTCGGGCGGGGGGGGG